AAACAGAAGATCATCTCTGAATGCAGATCATCATCTCTGAACACAGAAGATCATCTCTGAACGCAGAAGGGCATCTCTGAACACAGAAGATCATCTCTGAATGCAGATCATCATCTCTGAACACAGAAGATCATCTCTGAACGCAGAAGATCATCTCTGAACGCAGAAGATCATCTCTGAACACAGAAGATCATCTCTGAACGCAGAAGAGCATCTCTGAACGCAGAAGATCATCTCTGAACGCAGAAGATCATCTCTGAACACAGAAGATCATCTCTGAACACAGAAGATCATCTCTGAACACAGAAGAGCATCTCTGAACGCAGAAGATCATCTCTGAACACAGAAGAGCATCTCTGAACACAGAAGATCATCTCTGAACGCAGAAGAGCATCTCTGAACGCAGATCATCATCTCTGAACGCAGAAGATCATCTCTGAACACAGAAGATATCTCTGAATGCAGAAGATCATCTCTGAACGCTCAACACATCCAACCTTGAAGCAGATGAGCTTCAGCAGCAGAAGACACACACTCCTGTCACTCCTGTCATATAAGAACTGTAAACTAAGGCTATGATTCACACAGACTGACCAAAACTGGACAACAGAAGATTGGAAAACGTGTCCTGGTCTTATGAGTCTGGATTTCTACTGTGACATTAATAATAATAATAATAATTCATCACATTTATATAGCGCTTTTCTGGGCACTCAAAGCGCTTCACATAGAAGGGGGGATCTCCTCAACCACCACCAATGAGCAGCATCCACTTGGATGATGCAACGGCAGCCATATTGCGCCAGAGCGCCCACCACACACCAGCTTACTGGTGGAGAGGAGACAGAGTGATGAAGCCAATTGATATATATATACGTGGGGATGATTAGGAGGCCATGATGGACAGAGCATAACTGTCAAGTTTTGGATTTGAAAATAAGGGAAATTTTCCGGCGCCCACAGCGAGCAGTCCCACCACCCCAACCAAGCTCCAGTATCCCTTACATTTTAAGACAGGTGTTATAGCCTAAATGAAAACACAAAAGGGTATATATGAAGAGCATTTATTTAAAGGCTTATTTGCAAATTTTCTGTTCATTTAACATTGCTTGTCTTTACATTTACATTTTATTTTCATTCCGCACATTCTTTTCATTTCATATTGCTTTACAGATTTTCTTTTCATTTCAAATAACTTTTCTTTACTCTTTTAGTGAGTTATTGTACAAATTTGTTGCAGACTTTGCATTCTTTAAGACTGTTTTGGAAGGGGTTGTGGGCTGGAGGGGTTAATTCTACATGAGACTAGAGCGCAAACAGTTCTGTTGTCTAACGTTCTTTCGCACCATGTTAAACACCCTTTCTCATGCTGACATACATCATTCCTTCCCCCGTGTGAGATGCTAAAGTCGCAGTTACAAAACTTACAAAACGTGTGACTTTCCCCCACCCTGCTTCTCTTCAGAAAAGTAAATTCGCTGTCCCATTGATCGCGGTATTTACATGAGGGTTTTGTTTTTTTGGCAAGAGTGCCTTCCATCTCTGTCGTTGCGTCCATCATCCGTCAGTTTTTTTTTTCTTGTTTTTTTCCCCGCGTTGTCATTCATCATCTGACCTCACACACTAACCTCGCGACAACTGCCACCTACAGTAACTTACCTGTAGTTATTGCGAGGCTAGTGACAGAGCTCAGATTGGGAATGTTTTTTTTTTACTCCGCCGTATTATTATTATCCGTATTGTTATTTATTATTTTTTATACGGGAGATTAACGGGAAAATATTAATACGGGAGGACAGCGGGAAAGAAGGGTAAAATACGGGACTTTCCCGGCCAAAACGGGATACTTGACAGGTATGGGACAGAGGCCACTGGGCAAATTTGGCCAGGATGCCGGGGTTACACCCCTACTCTTTCGAAAGACATCCTGGGATTTTTAATGACCACAGAGAGTCAGGACCTCGGTTTAACGTCTCATCCGAAGGATCCGAGTCTGGATTTCTACTGTGACATTCATACGATCGGGTCAGAATTTGGCGTAAACTACATGAAAGCATGGATCATCCTGCCTTTTATCAACAGTTCAGGCTGCTGGTGGTGTGATGGTTTGTTAAATATTTTCTTGGCACACTTTGGGCCCTTCTGTACCAATTGAGCATCTTTTAAACGCCACAGCCGACCCGAGTGTTCTTGCTAACCATGTCCATCCCTTTATGACCACAGTGAACTCATCTTCTGATGGATACTTCCAGCAGGATAACACACACACGTCACAAAGTGCAAATCATCTCAAACTGGTTTCTTGAACATGACAGTGAGTTCACTAAACTCAAACGGCCTCCATAGTCACCAGATCTCAGTCTAATAGAGCAGCTTTGAGATGTGCTGGAACAAGAGATTCACATCATGGATGTACAGCTGACAAATCTGCAGAAACTGTGTGATGCTCTCATGACAATATGGACCAAAATCTCTGAGGAATCCAGAACCTTGTTGAATCTATGCCATGAACAATTAAGGCAGTTCTGACGGCAAAAGATATATATTCATATTCAAGTGACAGAGTAAGCTAGAGAGAAGCTACGGACAGTTTCTATGCTTCATCCTGATGAACATATTCTCCTTCCCCAAAGGTGTGCTAGATGTGCTTAGCATAGCAATTGTGCTAACTTTTATCTCAGTTTTGCCCCTAGAGATCTCAGCCTGTCCTTTCTTCTAACATCAAACCTTTCCCTGCAGGATTACTATTCTCTACCCTACTAAGTTTCTGAGTAGAACATTTTTGTAGTTTATAAGCATGATTTCTTGACCTGCAGCTAATGTACCCTCCATTTTAACAGCAGCACTTGTATAAGACGGATGATCTTCCAAAGACTTGATGGTGCAGGCGTAAAAATGATTCATACTAGATCAGCCACACTCCACCCACAGATTCACAGCCACACTAATGTATGTGTGTATAAAGCCCTGGCCTAATGCGCTTTTCTGTAACATGATGCTTCTGGAGATTCATGGACTAAAACATCTCATGATGACTCAAAATAGAGGTGTAGTGTTTGAATTTTCATGTCTATTCACATTATGCTGCGCTAGAGTATATCTGGAGTCTGTTATTGTCAAGATGCACTTGAATGGGAAAATGTGATTAATTACTGAACCACATGGACGCTTTTAAGTTTTCATATGTTTTTTTGTTTGTTTAGGAAAACAGCTTGTCATGTGTTTACTTCTGCAAACAAGCATTTTATCAATTCAGAATGTTTTGGTAATAATGTGTGATGAGTTTTTAATCAAAACCGGCAAATTGTTTAGTAGTATTTTGTTATAGCATAATGATTATTAAAAAAAATTATGGTTAGTGATTTGATCAAACTTTTAAACTATACAATAGTAATAATATTATAATTGTACATTGCAATATTAAACTAATACTAAGTGCATTTGTGCTGATGCTACAGATATAATTGGCACATCAAAATGTGATAAAAGACAGACCTAGTGACCAGCTCATCATGAAGACTTAAACACGTGTACATTCCTAGTAACATCCTAACAATTGCATAATGCATTAGCAACCTCTCACAATGCTATGGCCTTGTGGTGGTCACTTTTGCATGGGCAAACAGACTATTTTCAGACAATGTAAAAGAGTAGTTTAAGTCTGATCTTGCCCTTACAGTGCTTGTTGATTTTAGTAATGAGAAGAACTCTATAAATATTCTTGCCACACAGTGCATGACTTGGAGAGAGCAGGAACTTTGCTTTGGCTTCAAGTAGGATGTGATGTGGCACTGTAAGAGAATGCAAAAGCAGGTTATGAGGTTTGGGAGTGGCTGGGCCGTCAGTTTGTCCAGTGCAGTGAAATAAGACTGTATGTGTGTTATTTTCAGTTGTTTTTTGAAAAGTACAGAGAAATAAAACATTTATTCTGACTAGAAACTCCCACACGGTCCTTTATCTCCAGTCCAGGTCCTCTGCTATAATGCCAGATTAAAGGTTTGAAAATGTCGAAATTTAGACATAGGCATTAGTATTTTAATTTTACATATGTATTATCATTAATATTAAATGCTCGATTTTAATTTTTACAGTACAATAGGATTATTACAATAATAATATATTTATTTTAGATATTTTATTTAATAATTATAATCATAATAAAAATAATTATTATTTCATAGCCATATTGATCATATCATCACAATATCATTTTATTGGCCTACAAACAAGCACAGCAAACCTGAAACTATTTTTTAAAAGCATTTAAAAAAAAAAAAAAAAAATCTTTTCTTTCCTATTGTGGCATATATGCGAGTAAAACGGCTTCTGAAACGAGACCAAATGTAGGGCGGGGCTTTATTTTGTCTGTGGGGAATTGATTGGATGGTTTGTTATTGGTGGATCTCATGTGAGTGACAGGTTGCCCCGCCCTCGTCATCAGAGAAAGAGAAGAGATGTTGCTGGAAGGAGAAGTTATTTCGATTAAAGATTATGACGGCACAATAAAATAATGATGTGCACGAATAAACTATTTGTAATAAAACCCGCAATATTCCACAAAAAAACAAGTATTGTCAGTTTTGATTTCATGCTGACTTTAAACCAAGTGAACCACTTGCAAGAATAACATGCCAAATTAACAGCCCTGGGTAACACTAACCGAATAACCCAAAGCCAACATGTGTGTGTGCATTTTATGCCTTCATAGCATCAAATATTTCAAAGCACTAGTGCATTTCTGGTATTTTGCAGCTGTCTGATGAATTGTCCTGAGAGAAGTGGGTAAAAATAGCTACTCTGTGTTTATGTGGTGAAGGAAGCTGTTATATTATTCATTTGAGCCGGTGCATCTGGTTATGCAATCTGCATTCTCAACCGATGAAGATGATCATGCATCCTTTTCTTTAGTAGGTCATGAGTTCCTGTGGCCTTCATCTCATCCCACAACCCTATTATGTTGAGTTTTGGATGCATCAGTAACTCTCTCTTTCCATCTACAGTTGTTTGGACAGCAGCGTGTGCTACGACAGTGATGAAACCAACGCTCGTAGCATCTCCAGCCTCTCCAACCGTTCCTCGCCTCTCTCATGGCGCCACGGCCAGTCCAGTCCTCGTCTGCAAGCCGGCGATGCCCCTTCCTCAACCGGATCCAGCTATCTGTCGGGAAGCAAAGCCTCGTCCCAATACACCTCTCACACGATGCCCGCTCGCTGCTCCAGCCGCCTCAGCCACACGGCACGCAGCGAGTTCATCGAAGGCCTGGACGCTGGAGATGGCGACCTCAAGTCTGGTTACCTCAGTGATTCTGATGTCCTTTGCAAGAGCCTTAATGATGACGATGACGACAATCTGGCCAATGGGTGAGTGTCTGCATGTGTTTGTTTGCTAAATATTCTCAGCCTGTCAACTTGAAAAAGATGACACCACTTATGAAGAGGATGTGTGATTTGAAGTGTTCATAAGAGCTACTATAATGTCAAGAATGAGACCAGGAGACGCAGTACGGCTGTTAACCTGCCATGTAAGTACACTAGATTAAAAAGGCAACAGTGAACAGAGCATCAAAGCGGGTCATGCTAATTATCCACATTACCAGAGAGACCCGCAGGGACGCTGTGAACGACGAAGCCCTCCTGGTTCTGCCGCGGCTTCGTAACATTAATACAGGGAGTTCAGACTTTTGTACAGGACACTCGAAAATGCAGAAAAGTTACTTAGAGCTCAATGAGTCATATTTTCTTTGTGATATGTGATTAGTGACTGTTACGACCCTTCGTTGATTTTAAAAGTCTAGGGAGTTAGAAGGGGAACATTGATCACCTATCAACAATAATTACTAAAAGAACACTGGGAAGTAAGTGAAACCAAAGGCAGTAGGATGCTTAAGTGCATTTGTTGCTGACCACAACTGGTCAAAAGAGCTCTCTATAAACATATATGTATATTTATATATACATACATATGTAAAGAAACAATTCAAGCAAATCATTATTTCCAATCAATAAAGTAAAACAAACATACCAGCAAATAATATTATTCCAAACCTGGAATAACTGGACAGTGCCAACTCAAAGAAAAGAATATAAAGAAAATAACCTTTCTAACCCGTTTTCAATTAACCTAACTAATACCAAAGCAAAATGTAGAAAGGAAAAGTCTTCGACGCCCGAGATGCTGTATACTTCCCTACTCTAACTATCCAAAATAAAAGTACAACAATGGCACATGCTCCTAAACCTAGTGTGTCTAAACAGAGAAAAACCCTAAATGTGCAAAATGTACGTCACGTGACATCTTACCTGACCCTTTCCTTTATCCAGTTTTAACACAGCAATTACTCAATTCGGATAACCACCTAAGGAGTTTAGGTCGTAAAAATGACACGCACTCACATGACAAACTAAACATGAACGAAGCTTGATAAGTAATCAAACACACATCAAAACAAGCGTAACAGAGAACTAAACACACAGTTGCAGTTCACAAACAAAAGGCTGGCATTTTCAATTGCGTTCAGGTGCTCTTTATAGTTCCTGGATTTCTGATGATCCATATGATTGGATCCCGCTTTCCCTCGTCTCCGACGATGACCAGCAGAGACGAACCAATCAGTGTAACAAAGACAACCAATCCGCGCGTCACCTGCGAAAGAGAAAGTAGGCTACGGCAGAAACATGAAGAAAATACAAAGACACCAAAGTCGCAATCTCTTTTAATCACCGTTTATCGTAACAGTGACCATGCTAATGTACAAATGATTTATTTACACTACTGTTCAAACTTGTGGGGTCTCTTCTGCTCACCAAGGCTGCATTTATTTGATTAAAAATACAGTAAAAACAGCAATATTGTGACATTTTATTACAATTTAAAATAACTGCTTTCTATTTGAATATAATTTAAAATGTAATTTATTCCTGTTATGCAAAGCTGAATTTTCAACTTCATTACTCCAGTTGAAAACAGTTGTGCTGCTTCATATTTTTGTGGAAATCGTGATTTCGAAGTCAGGATTTTTCCGAAAGATCAAAAGAACTGCATTTATTTGCTATAGAAATGTTTTGTAATGTTATAAATGTCTCTACTGTCATGTTTGATCAATTTAATGCATCCTTGCTGAATAAAAGTTTTAATTTCTTCTTCTTCAAAAAAAAACTTTTCACATGAGGTGAAGGTAGTTCCCTTTCGAAGGGAACTCAACAATACGTCATCGACGTTATGGGGAACGCCTCAGGCGTGACAGGTGTCTGAAATCACTATCAAATCACGTCAATCACATTGACCGGCGACAGCCCGTGAATCATTAGCGTGAATGATTAACGTGCGACCTGGAAGTATATAAGGGCGCCTTGCAAACATGACAAATCATCTCATCGTCTTCAGGGACTGTTTTGTCTGTAACTGCTTTGAAAATCAGGTAATTATGAAATGCTTTCAGAAGTGTGCAGACCCGTGCTCAAGATATCTGAAGCCGGGTGACACACGCGAACTGTGCATTTTTCTGTCTGGGAAGGAAGACGCGCACAGGCAGTTCTCGAGGGAACTGCCTGTACAAATTGTGATTGCGCCGGTCCCTCTTCTCGAGAGAAGAGGGTTCAGCGTCTGGATGTCACAGATGAAGCTCGCCGATCGCCTTGAGAGGGGTGTAATCCTCTCAGACGATGCGGCGGCTGACGATAAGCTGCAATTGGATGAAGTAAAAAAAAAAAAAAAAAAGGAAAACTTAGTCCGGCAGCAAGCGCTCTCCTGGACAAACAGGAGATGGCTGATGAGGGTGGTAATAATAAGATATTTTCCTGTATCTTCTCAGCTACCCTGCCCCGTGTATGCTGAGCTGGTAGTATTATAGAACGCGCCGCGGACAGGCTGCAGCTGCCGTGGCTGCTCGTTGGGGGAGAAATCGCTCGCGATGAGAGCGGTTTTTCCCCGGTCATAGAACCACCAGCTCAGGTGAGCCTTTCATTTCTTCCCGATCTCATACTGAGATCGAGAGGACATGGAAGAACCCGTACTCTGCCTGTATCCACCAACATCAGCAGGCTAGTCTCGCTGATGTTGAGAGGATAGGAGAGCGTGGGTATGCGTCGATGGGAAAACAATCGACACTGAGAGCTCAAACCCTGCCAGTTGAATGGCAGAGCATACACGTCAGCGGGTCAGGCCGGTGCTAGCCTGCACATCATGGCGGTGTTGCAGGTACACCAGGCCAATCTGCTGGGGGATCTCGACCAGGGGGTGGGGCCCCAGAGGCGGTTACTGAGCTGCGCCGCAAATGGAAAAAATGTGTGTATATATATATATATATAGCTCTCCGGGATGGCGACGATACTGGCCACGGAGAGACATTTGTGGTTGAACCTGGCCGACATCGGGAAGAAAGAGAAAGGCTTTCTCCTCGATTCGCTGGTTTCGCCCTCTGAGCTTTTCGGCACCTCCGTGTTGGCGGTGGTTGGAAAGTTCAGAGAGGCGAAGGCGCGCTCAGCTGTATCCAGGACATACATACCGCTGAGATCCGTGTCCACGCCCAGACAGATGGGAGGGCCTGGCCTATCATGGTCCGAGGACCTTAATTAAGGCCAGAGAGCCAGTGTCACCTCTCGTGCGCCTCCTCCGTGGAGTAGTAGGTCGCAGAGGAGGCGCGACTCCCGCAAGAAGAGGGATCTGAGGGAGGTGATCCGGCACAAACGCACGTTGCGTTGGTCATGGATCATCTTCCCTGAGGGCGTGATTATATCTTAGCCCTTTCCTCTCTTCCCCGACTCCCCAGGCGCTTCTTACATCAGGCCTGAGGCTGGGCTCATGGTTAGAACAATGTTCTGATGGCCCGCCTCGGCTTGGTTAGTGAGAGTGCCTCTTTCAGGTATGTAAAGGTGGTAGACCCCATGTTCATGAAGAACTGTCTGGTGAGTCTTCACTTCGCACGCCGCAGGTGAGCTGCTGGTCTTTCAAAGAGTATTTTTTGTGATTAAAAAATAATATGTTTCTCTTTACAGACCTCGTTCCCTGTATAGAGTTATGGGGCCATGTCAAGGTAATAAGGTAAGAGAACTTTTTTGGATTATCAGGGCCCTGAAGTTCCCCGTTAGGTGGCCAGAACGATAACTATGTTAGCCTTCGGGCTATTAGCCACCTCAGGGTAGAGTAGTTGGTCTCTCTCTGATAGAATGTTTTACTTAGAGTGTTGACTGACGCTAGAGCTTCAGATAGATCTTATGTCCGGCCCATGGGACCGTTTTGACTTTTCTGAGTATTTCGCCCCTTGAGCTCTGTTGAGTTTTCATTAGGTTGAGCGTTCTGCAGCCCTTTGTATGGAATAATACAGACTATATTCTTTAGTAGGCTGTGGCTCCTCTGAGCCCTCAGATAGATCTATGCTTACAGGTTGGCCCTCACCAGGGCCGCCTCTGTAGCTGGCCTAGGCTGTGCCAGGGATATTAGAGGCGTTCTGCTAAAATTAGCATTTCTTCCTCTGACCCTTCACTTTGTGAATGTAGGTTTTTGGCATCCCTGTATAATCAGCCTCCTCCCATGGGAGTCGTTAGGCCAAGGCCCGCCCCCTTCTCTGCATTCTGGGGTGACTAGAGTAATGCAGCGTGGTGCAGAGGATGGTTTATAAGGACATGGTAGGCCTCAGTTAGGCCTCCGTGGTATATAAGTCCTTTTGAGCAGGGTTAGGCCGTCTTTCGCTTCACAAAGAAGACTGAGTCTCCTGCCCGACCCTGCCGTGCAGAACTGGCCTACGGATTTAGGCCGCCAGTGTGGGCTTCACTAATACCTTGCTGAGCTACTGCTCAGGCTGTGGGTTGTAGGTGGTTGGCTTTCATTCAAGCCCCACTCCCCTAGGTTGGGCACAGATGTTTTTCTGTTACCCCTAGAGCCGCTGGCAGGCCCGCACCCTGGTAAACTCAGGGTGAGGTGTGAGTATTCCCCTGTGATTCAGGGTAGGTCTGAGCACTTCACTCCCAGTTCTGTTTTTATCCTACCTCGCACTACTATGGCTCGGGTCGAGTATGAAGTAAGCCTTCACTTCTTCTTTGGTCGAAGTTCGCTCCCCTGAAGCCAGAGCATTGCCCTGTGCTGACGCCCATGCATAGATGGTAGGCCCCTGACTTCTGGGGCCTCCGTTTAGGCAGTATAGCGTATGTTGTACTCCCCTTGTTTTTTAGGGTGCTAAGCTACTCTAGCTGAGTACACTGCCGTGGGCAATGTGATTAGGCACCAGGATGCTGTAGGCGCTGTGTAAACAGCTTATCTGCCAACGAAGGCTGCGCCATCAGGTAGTAGGCCTCAGCAGGCCTCCTTGTATGGGCAGCCCCCAATAGGGCGCTGTAGGCCACTTCTCGAGAGAAATGGTTGGCTT